TATGACCCTGCGACTTAAGCCTCTTTGTCATGGAGATAGAGAAGTGTTGTTTAACTTGTTTTCAAGTGGAGCAAATTATTATCTTTGTAGACAATGTCATACATTTGTAATTTACATTTTATGCCATTATGAGAATGTTGGGATGTTAACAGTGGTTATATGGAGATAGAGCCCTAGAAGGATAAAGCAATGTCAATGGCGTTGGAGCGTTTTGTTTTTGATTTCACATTTCATGGATACATCTAAATCTTGTGTTCCAATTACTTTGTTTAAGATTTAGTTATGCCCCCATTTCGAAGAAAAGGGGGTATATTGCTTTGCACTTGTCGGTCCGTCGGTCCGTCGGTCTGTCGGTCCGTCGGTCCGTCGGTCCGTCGGTCCGTAGACCAAATGGTTTCCGAGTGATAACTAAAGAACCCTTAGGCCTAGGAACTTCAAACTTGGTATGGTGATTGGTCATGACCAGTAGATGACCCCTATTGATTTTGGGGTCAAGGGGTCAAGGTCACATTCACCTTGTAAGCAAAAACGGTTTCCGATCAATAACTAAAGAACCTTAAGGCCTAGGAACTTCAAACTTTGTATGATGATTGATCATGATCAGTAGATGACCCCTTTTGATTTTGGGGTCAAGGGGTCAAAGGTCAAGGTCACATTGACCTTGTAAGCAAAAACGGTTTCCGATCAATAACTAAAGAACTTTAAGGCCTAGGAACTTCAAACTTGGTATGGTGATTGGCCATGATCAGTAGATGACCCCTATTGATTTTGGGGTCAAGGGGTCAAAGGTCAAGGTCACATTGACCTCTTGGGTAAAAACGGTTTCTGATCAATAACAAAAGAACCCTTAGACCTAGGAACTTCAAACTTGGTATGATGATTGGTCATGATCAGTAGATGACCCTTATTGACTTTGGGGTCAAGGGGTCAAAGGTCAAGGTCACATTGACCTTGTAAGCAAAAACGGTTTCCGATCAATAACTAAAGAACTTTAAGGCCTAGGAACTTCAAACTTGGTATGGTGATTGGTCATGATCAGTAGATGACCCCTATTGATTTTGGGGTCAAGGGGTCAAACGTCAAGGTCACATTGACCTCTTGGTAAAAACGGTTTCTGATCAACAACAAAAGAACCCTTAGGCCTAGGAACTTCAAACTTGGTATGGTGATTGGTTATGAACGAGCAGATGACCCCTATTGATTTTGGAGTTAAGGGGTCAAAGGTCAAGGTCACATTGACCTTGTAGGTAAAAACGGTTTCCGATCAATAATGAAAAAACCCTTAGGCCTAGGGACTTCAAACTTGATATGGTGATTGGTCATGATCAGTAGATGACCCCTATTGATTTTGGGGTCAAGGGGTCAAAGGTCAAGGTCACATTGACCTCTTAGGTAAAAACGGTTTCCGATCATTAACTAAAGAACCCATAGGCCTAGGAACTTCAAACTTGGTATGGTGATTGGTCATGACCAGCAGATGACCCCTATTGATATTGGGGTTAAGGGGTCAAAGGGCAAGGTCACATTGACCTTGTAGGTAAAAATGCTTTCCAATCAATAACAAAAGAACCCTTAGGCCTAGGAACTTCAAACTTGGTATGGTGATTGGTCATGATCAGCAGATTACCTATTGATTTTGGGGTCAAGGGTCAAAGGTCAAGGTCACATTGACCTTGTAGGTAAAAACGGTTTCCGATCAATTAACTAAAAACGCTTAGGCCAAGGAACTTCAAACTTTGTATGATGATTGGTCGTGACCAGCAGATGACCCCTATTTAGTTTTGGGTCAAAGGTCAAGGTCACATTGACCTTGTAAGTAAAAATGGTTTCAGATCAATAACTTAAGAACGCTTAGGCCTAGGAACTTCAAACTTGGTATGGTGATTTGTCATGACCAGCAGATTACTCCTATTGATTTTGGGATCAAGGGGTCAAAGGTCAAGGTCACATTGACATTGTAAGTAAAAACGGTTTCTGATCAATAAATTAAGAACGCTTCGGCCTAGGAACTTTAAACTTGGCATTGTGATTGGTCATGACCAGCAGATGATCCCTATTGATTTTGGGGTCAAAGGTCAAGGTCACATTGACCTTGTATGTTAAAACGGTTTCCGATCAATAACTAAAGAACCCTTAGGCCTAGGAACTTCAAACTTGGTATGGTGATTGGTCATGACCAGCAGATGACCTATTGATTTTGGGGTCAAGGGGTCAAAGGTCAAGGTCACATTGACCTTGTAGGTAAAAACGGTTTCCGATCAATTAACTAAAAACGCTTAGGCCTAGGAACTTCAAACTTTGTATGATGATTGGTCGTGACCAGCAGATGACCCCTATTGAGTTTTGGGTCAAGGGGTCAAAGGTTAAGATCATGACCAGTAGATACTTGATAACCCTTATTAATTGTTTGATCACTGGGTCAGAAGTCATGCATAATAACCTTATCACATGACTAATTGGCTGCTGATAGGGGGCATACATGTTTTACAAACATATCTTGTTGTAATAAATCTTTATCGTTTCGTCTGTCACAGGGTCAGTATTTGATAAGGTTATCGAGCATAAATGTGTAAAACATTTTATTGACAATGTAGGAGCAAATTGGATAAGCACAATCCACATAATTATTGCATTTATTCTTTGGTTTGTTTTCAGTAACCTTTACGTTGAAATGTTTGATTGTAAAAGACAATCTTTGAGTATTTGGTAATAATTTGTATCGATGTACAATTAAAGATCCTGTAACACATTTTTATGGTTTTAAATCATAAAAGTATGATGCTCAAAGTAAGATTTATAAATGTTATAGGCATCAAAAAGCATTATTTATAAAGATATTACCGAATTTAACATTTCATGTAAAAAAGGGTAGTGATTAGAAATTGATTTTCTATAAAGTTTGAGTCAAATTTTCCAATAAGAAATAAATGCACATATTTAATGATTACATATAATATGCACAAATATTTGCAGTTCATAGTTTACATATTTTTTGATGTCTGAAAATTGTTTTATAAGTAAAATTATACATATATATAATTTCACTGAGTGTGATTAACCACTTTACTCACAACATACAGGATCTTTAACATCGATCTTGGGAAAAAAGCCATATTTCATCAACCATCGGAAATGATGTTATAAATCACTTTGCAGTAATACAATGATCAGGGTGAAAAGAAAAACAACTCCTTCCCCTCAGCTATCTCAAACGTTGTTTTGGAGGAGCATTGATTTTGTTTTGAAACATTTTCACTATATTGTTATAGAATGAAGTCCCAATGCATCCATCTATAACTTTAAAACAAAATAAAATATCGTAAGTGTCCTTGAAATTCATGGTTATTATGAAATATCGAGCAAATTGACGAATGATTTATAGCTTTTTAATTCTTTAATGATAAGTTCGAAAGTAATAACTTCTTCAGAAATCCATTATTCGTTTTTTCTTGATTGATTTTCTTTTACGCTTAACAATTTAGGAAAGCAACAATCATTGTTTTTATACTTAATTTTCATTTGTATGGCGCATAGTTACAAAACTACTAGCATCCGTTATTGCTACTAAAATAATTGATCTAAATTATCCAGTAAACGACACAGTCATGTAGCATTTTACTAGTGTCGATATTTCGCACTGTGTAACTTTCAGCATTTAGGGTGTACAAAAGGGGTAGCTTTTCGAGTCAGTATCGTTTGTAGGATATCACAGAAATGTTTATTAATGGAATCAATAAGTCAAGTCATACAACGATAATAAAGTCGGCCTTATTACTCACAGTCGCATTAAGTACATATAGCTTACCGAACAGTTAATGTAACAAATTACTGCAACAATGTCCAAAACTGGATTTTGTCTGAAATTGCCTATAGCGTTGTTAGAAGTATTGGACGGGGAATAATAAAAAGGCACAATCGTCAGCAATGAATAAATCCTAGATTTTTTTATAGAAGGGTATTATATTATCATACAAATGGAAATCCAACAAGCCAAAGTACATTATGCTTCTAGTTCTTGGGGGATTATAAAATCGAAACATGTATAGATATTACAAAACAGTGATGAAATAATAAATTAATGAAAACTAAATTACTATTCCGTAATGGTAACGTTTGATATTTAGTAAATAAAACTTGACTTGAGGGTAGGTATTAGTTTAAAATGATATCAAAGGACCGATTAGCTACTGTACATATCGTAACCTATTCATGCTAGTGCATCTTAAATGGAACGGATGTTTAAATAGACAGTAATCACTTATAAAGGCTCGTTGTATTTTTCTGACAGTAATACAAAAAAAGCGGCGAAATTTGTATAAAAAAGAAAATTTTCACAACACATTGTGAAATAAAACAACAAATAGACAAACCAACAGTACAATGTTACAGACAATGCAATGCAATGCAATGGAATCATTTATCTATTGCTTTTTATGTTGTATATTTGTTCATATGCATGATCTTGGCTTAGTTTAGTAAAATATAAGCATATTTAAATATTCATTAAAACTGGTGACTTTAAAGTGAATAGGTCCATATTGGAAGGTCTGCAAAACCATATTAATTATGTTGATTGTATTTAGTTCCATTTTTGAAAAAAATATTTTGTAAGTACATTTCTATTGATTGCATTATTCTATTTCACACTTGGAGTATCTGCCCTTTGTAGACTGAAATAATTTATCATTCAATTCGACCAATTAACAAAACCATAAAAGCATGTTTTTATTCAAAGAAGATTTTAGAAACCTATAACATGTAACATTTCATGTCAAAGTTAACTTTCGTACTCTAAAAAAACGACAAGAAATATGAAGGAAAACAAGCACAAATGGTTGAGGAACGATGCCAAAAAGCTTTGCTGAAAGAAAAGAAACACAATAATAATTATAAATAATATCGGATGTAAGCCTTGCTGTAGCGGAAATAACGTTCATTCCATCCATCCTTAATGGATATATATATATATGTGTGTGTGTGTGTGTGTGTGTGTGTGTATTTTTAAAAAGAATAAGTATTGCAATGCACTATATACATTTTTTAAAGTCAATAATAACATTATTTAATGATTTCTTTTAATTATTGTCTATATTCAAAATATATGAGTCAATAGTCATAGGCAATGACATTTTAAATATACTAGTAGAGCGATTAATGTAGTCAATTGTTCTTCAAGATTCGCATCCAGACAATTTGGTATAATCATCATCAGTTTTCGTGTGTTTCAATTTGGAATAACCAACTGTCTCATCATTGTCAGCAAATTTCAAATAACCATCGACATCCTTAGGTAGCTCAACATCTGGAACATGATTTTCGTAGTCAGCAACGTCGGCTTCTGTATTGTCCTTTATTTCTTCGTAAACAATCTCGTCGAAGTGTTCTTCTTTCATTTCTTTTGATACGGTTTTAACTTCCTTAGTGTTTTGCATCTTACCACTATTTCAAAAATGGAAGATTTGTTTCAGAATTAATTGTTTCATTGAAAAGGTACATATTCTGTTCATTAATTAATGTTTATAGAATATATCAATTATAGTAAAAGTATGATTTGTTTTATTAAAATAATTTTCAAATATAACATGAACGGTAAAATAACTTACAGTACATTTGAAGCGTCCAATTCTGAAAGACATCAACGAATTCGTGAAATAGAATATGTGTTATTACAAGAAATAAGTTTTCTACAAATTTGGTATGAAATACTTTAATATATTTTGTTTCGGCCTGAGCCTTAGGAATGTATTAATTTAAGATTTATCAGTTACTTTCTTTATGGTCACCTGATATATAAGAAAATTGTTATTTCCTTACATATACCCATATAGCAAAACAATAAAAGGAAATCTATAAGTGTTTGAACTCGATGCAAAAATCTATCCGATTAAATCATGTTATCTTTGACATAAAATTGCAACTATCAAAAAAGAGATCTTAGATAAGAGGAAAGATTGTTTCTATGCTTATTCTAAATGTTTAATGACAACTTACTAGTCTTTTTCAGTTCCCTTCTATACCTTAGACAGCAACATACAGTAGCAAGAACAACAATTGATGAAACGCAAATTGAAGATATGACTACAACTATGATAAATGTTGTTTGATCTCCAATTTCTGGAAACACGAAAAAGTTCTATCTATAAACATTACTCCTGTAGTAAACAACCTTTTATTGCTAGGCGGAGCATTATATGCCCGAAAGTGTTTGTTTTAGCAAGGATGAAGCATTGTAAGGCATGGGAATTAAATACAGCATTGCCTCCTTCAAAAAGCATTCCTACTTAATAGCTGAAGAACTTTCATATATATATATATATATTTCATATTATGTTTTGACGTCACTTAGAGTGGCGTCCCTTGTATTTATTAACGTTGGCGTCATTGACGTCGTTTCCATATCAATATTTTCATTTTCATTTTCCTCCTTATGATATTGTGAAACCGGTAGAGGTATAATTAAATTACATAAATTAAGCAAAGGTTTGTTATTTTAACTTTTACTGTTTTATTTTTTCCGTAGTGTGGGACATTTGTCCGCACATTTATTTATGTTATATTGCTGTTTCCAAAGCTACACTATCAAGAACTAATTCACTTTTACCGTATAATTCCATTTATTACATTGCATCAAAAACAGTTTGTTCCTATAAATTACAAAGTTCATAAAGTTTATTTTTAATTTTTATTTACCTTCTGACCCCGATGAAAGGCCTGTTACAGTGATAGTCAATGTTATATCTGTCGGAACATTATTATCCTGGTTAGCTCTGTAAAGTAAACACGAAACAAGTGTAAATGCATCTTTTATAAAGTTACAATATATAACACAAGGGCGAGTAGGATCAGTATTGTTTTAAACAAAGTATAATGGCCACTTGACTTCTTTTTCCCCCATATTTTGACAGAACTTAACTGTTACTTCAAGAACAATAAGTATGATTACCCTAAAATTAAAAACGACACTACATGTGGTACGATATGCATTTGGTTAAGATATTATGGACTAAATTGATATGATTTGATACGATAATGATTTTTTTTGGCACATGAGTCGGTTAAAAAACTGAAAGTTCATTGTTTTTTCTATATGGTGTGAAATAAAAAATACTAAGTATTACCTTACAACTACAGTGTAAGAAGACAGTATGATATCCCCGAGGGTACAGCTTAAAATGTTACTGTCAGTGATTGTAAACACACTGCTTCCTTGAATACTGAAATGAGATGCGATTAAATCACGGTGCACACTAAATCGGTACCCTCTTTGCACAAACACAGGTCACTTACCGCTACGATAGACACTATTGCAATATTGCGAAGCCTACTGTGGAGATGCGGTAATTGAAAACTAAGAGAATTTCAAAGAATTACATAGTCAAAACATTCAAGTGTTCAGTGATATACTTGCTTTTCACACCACATACCAACTTTTAACAGTAGAATGATCATTCAATGAATTGGTGTTCGTCGCTGCTTTTTTTCCAGCAGAAAGTGACCTTTGCATGTGCAAAGAGGGTACCAATTTACAAGATTTTGCAAATAGTATATGCACCGTGTTAACGACCCAATGCGATTAAAACAGCCAAAAGTTGTTTATGAATATTCATATCAGGTAACGATACATTTTTATAAATAAGCCTTGGTGCGTGTTTCTTTAATTCAAAAATTACATGTATATTGGATACAATTTAACACTTAAACATTTGTATGAACTGACATATTAATCTGAGGAAATCGCAATATCCTTCCATCATGCAGTTACAACTGACTTAGAACATGGTAACTTAAATGAGACTGTATAAGTTTGTGTTCAGTTAAATGCTAGTTCTGTAATCATTCTCGTCTGTATATTCTGCTAGATGCAGTCTTTAAATTGCATTCCACTTTTTTTTGGAAATAATAGCATGATGATCACTGTAATGTCTTATATATACAATTCGTGCAGTTTTCCGTTTCATTATTTTGAAAAACACCCGGCAATATACAGTTCTTCACCAATTCTTTTATAATAACATGTTCCCTTTTTCTCCCGGTTCGTAAGGGAAAATTGATTGGTCTTTGTCGATCCCTGAAAGCCTACATTTGGGTCATTTTTCTTTATTGTTTGAAAATTGAAATCCTTAAAATTTTTAAACGATAGTTTGCTTAAAATCTCACATGAAACTTTTAAAACCCTATTCAGTTCCCCTTAAATGCAGAAATTTCCAAGGTATTTTTATACTTTTTAAAAAAACTTTGTAAAAAACAAAAATTAAATATTTTTTGGCGCCCTTTGTAATTTCCCCAAATTACTAAAAATATTTTAAAAATAAACTTTTTTGATGAAAACAAAACCAGTATCAACCTAAGTGTTGTACAATGTAGGTAATTATTTAAAAAAATGAATATGACAACATTTTCTCAAGATAAAATACAATCTAAATTCATTAAAATACATGTATATAATATTGTTCATAGGTACCTGTACGTTACAGTGGAACCATCTGTCGAAGTTGCTGACAAAGTTGTGACAGAGTAACACGCATTAGCGTCCGTTTTATCTAATTTATGCGAGGTGCCAGTGTTCCATGTCGCTAGCATTCAATAATTAAAACAATCAAAACACAAATATCTCGTTATAAGTTACAAATACAAATGAATTTTAATAAGTAACAAAGACAAACATCTCACAATAAGCAACAAACACAGATATCTTATAAAAACAAACTCAAATATATTCAGCAACAAACACAAAATATCTTATTATAAGCAACAAACACAAACATATCTCATAATAAGCAAAACCAAACATAAATATCTTATAAAAACAAACTCAAATGTATTATATTAGCCAACAAACACAACAATCTTACCATAAAAGACAAACACAAAGATATCTTATAAGCAATAAACACAAATATCGTATAATAAGCAACAAACATAAATGTATTTTTATAAGAAACAAACACAAAACTATCTCATAATAAGCAAAAAACAACAACAAAAACGCAGAAATATAATAGCATCTTAATATAATAAACAAACGAACACTAAATATCTTATTTAAGCAACAAACGCAATTGTATAATTATTAGCAACACACTCATTTAATACACTGATCTCAGAAGGTATGTTAGTATATATCAGAGCTTTTTTGAACCGTTATTGTTATACCGTATATTGGTCACAAGTTTGAAAGATTGGTTAAAGCTCAATTGCGTAACAAGTTATTGCAACTAATATAAATCACGTTCGAGTCCGCTTCCTGGAACCAACCAGTATTGGTGTCATATGAAGAAACATGGTCGTGATCCGATTAGGGCTCGAAGTCATGATCCCTGAGTTGAGAGGCAGACACCTTAACCACTTTATTCGTTAGGGTTCCTCCCATTGAATTATTTTAAGAAATTTACTTTGTGCGACTATTGTGGAAAGGAAAAATATCACAGATGGAAAAGTAGACAAAAATCAGATTCATAGTATAATATTTGTAACCGTTACTACCTTTTACAAAGATACTTGTCTATGACCCAGGAACTTGAAATTTAACATTAACGATAACATGCAAAATATACCCCTATATAATATAAAAAAACTATAGTATATAGGGGGTATACTTGGATATTATCATTAATATTCGTTACTTAATAGAATTTCAAGTTCCTGTGCTATGACATATCTCATATATAATATAGCCATTCTTAAAACGAATTTTTGAAGAATATGGTATTTTTAAATGTATTTACCAGGTGATTGATCTGTGAATGTGATAGTTATGGTTAAATCTGATTGTCCCGGATCTGATTGATATTTTGCTCTGTAAAATATGCAATGTATAAACAGTGAATATTGATAGCCGAAAAGTGTCACAAAAACGTTGTTGTCCATTTGAAAAGATTTGTCTTGGTTATAAAACGTCGTGTAAAATATTTTTTATCTCGCATTTCCCAGACCGTTTGTTTTGTAATAGTGTGATTTGATTCTGTGTATAAAATCATGTACAAAGAATTAAAATCGAACGTTCTAAAGATATAAGGGGTTGCTATAAAGAGAACTGTTTCCTATGTATGCGTGTAAGAAAAAGAAAAAAACAAGAGTTTTAGAAACACACAGATCCCCGTGTATCAGGTTTCTTTCGCAAGGATCTAATTTTCGCTATATTCGCGTACACTGAATATCACAGAAAATATATTCGCTAAATTTTAGTTCAATTTCATACAGGGATTTCGCGAATTTCTGTAATTTGATAACAATTACATACCTTACCACTACAACATACGAGGATTGGGATACGGAATCCTTCACACACGTAAGAATTTGATCAGAAGCAAAGTTCACATCAGTAGTAAATCCGGCATTCGGGGTTTGAGACTCTACACTGTTAAGATAATATAACAAAAAGAAACATATAATCATGATAATTACACATTGTCGTTCCATTATTTGAAGAAAAGAATAAAAATGTCGAACAACCAACCAAACAAAAGTGCCATGGCAGACCAGTATATATATAAATATACTTTGTTATTCAATTAATTTTAAAAACTTTAATGACGAACATTGTTCAATAACATGTTTTTCATCCATGCTTAGCGACATTTACATTGTTAAAAGGAGTAAGTGTTCCCCCTTGTTTTGTAAAACTTAAAGGACTTTCGTTTCCAAATAGTGGCTTGTTAAATAAAACATTTGGGATACAGTAGCCGTGTATTAACAATTAATTACATTGGTTATGAGCATTAAGTTAAATGTTATTGACTTATCAATAATTAACTTATTCATAACTGTAAGTGCAAAATGTATAATGGTTAAATCATGCTGATGAACACAAGACATTCACTTAATAAATATCCAATATGAAATATGGGTCGCATCTTATATGCATCAAGTGAATTTAACAATATAACTAAATCCTTAAATATCTACTTGAATCTATTGCCTTTTTTGTCATAAACAAATAGAAAGTACAAGCCTCAAAGTGTGATTAAAAAGAGGAAATAGAAAAATATCTCAAGAGTAAAGTGAACATCAGTACATAAGGTAAAGATTGCAGATTCGGTTAAACAGTGTCTGTTCGTGAGAGATAGCAAAAGATTCAACCTCGCCCACGCACCCTAGCACCGCTTAAGCAGTTAACAATCTTCAATAGAATAAAAACTAACGAGTATATAACAGTGTCGCCAGTCTGTGACGTTGCAGACAAGTCGGTGATTTCTGTACAATCTGAAGACGTCTTATTGAATGATGTTCCTGTGTTCCAGGTTGGCGGGTTCTGCCCTGTTGTTGGTTGAATAACAGCCAACACTAAAATAATAAATACATAACAGTATCATTTAAAGGTGGTCAAACGCTTCTGGTATTCATTTCTGGTGAATAAATATAATCCTTCATCCTACCTAAATGAACTATTCTGTTCTGCATTGATAAATAAGAAATACAGAGACATGTTACTTAAAGTGAGTTGGTCTACAAAAGATTTTATCCGGAGCTCGGCAAATGTATGTTTTTCAAAGCTTACCCACCACCCCGCCCCCTGACAAGCTTTTAATATTAACTTTTAGTTAACGGTGCATTACTGGTCACAATAGATAAGTCAATCTGTTGGGCTTATTTTTCAAAGCTTTAGCTTTAAAAGTTTGCTTGTATCACTGGAATAGCTGGGAAAGCCCATAACATTCTTGAATAAGTTTTATCAAGTTTATTTGGGATACTTTCTATGAAAATGAGCATTTATATGATAAAATATATATCTTGATTGTTTGTTTGTTTGTTTCTTTAGTTTTAACGTCATACCAATACAGTATACGTTCCAGCTTTACTGTTGGAGGAAGACCTCAGGTGCCCTTCGATGCGTGCATTATTTCAGGCACGAACGGGCATCTGAGTAGAACCACGGTGACCGTATGTTTTGTTTAAACCACTAGAAGAGCTGCATTGCCCTTGTTAAATGTCCACTTTATTCGTAAATAAAAGAGACTCTTTATATCGACATATGCAAAACTAATGACAGATTTTTAATGTATAGTAAGAATGAGAAAATCTGAAATTTGCTATCAAATGGAAATATTCAAAATATTCTGCCAGAGCCTGCTTACGAGGCGCAAGTTATTATATAAGGCTATTTTTACTCTATGCACATGTATCATAGTCAAACTTTGAATATTAATTAGGATGTGTTTGTTTTATATATGTAATATAAGTTTTATTGCTGCCATATATTTCCGCTTTTAGCAATTTTTATGACTGTTTGAAATGTTTGTTTTGTTATTGATGATCATATTCTTAGTCTCTTATAACTCTTTTAGAGAGGTTTTGTACACGTATTTTTTATAATTTATTAATATATGTCCAAAATTGTTTTTTTGTTTGATTTGAATTACGTCACATCGTCGCAGTATAGGTCATTTGGCGACGTTCCAGCTTTACTGTTGGAGGAAGACCTCAGGTGCCTTTTCGTGCATTATTTCAAGCACGAATGGGAACCACCAACGTTCCGTAAGCTAGCTGGATAGCTTCCTCACTTGAAAGAATCCAAAGTCTCTGTCGGCATTCGAGCCCACAGCGGTGCGGGGCAAGTGGTTTGAAGTCAACGACCTTAACCACTCGGCAACGGACGCCCCACAAAAGCAAGGGGGAGAATCACGCCGTTCGTTACCCAAACAAACAAGATGGCGGATGCAGCCAAATAGTAGGTTTTTCCCTTTTTTCTCTGAAATTCGTGATGTTCTAATGTAAAGGTACATATAACAACCTTCTAAACAATTTTCCAGGCACACAGGATTTTATTTCATGATGTTTCGTCCCTTACTTCATCTGAAATGCGCGTCACCAGATTCGAAGCGAGAAAATTTTCCTCCGGTTTGATCGTGGTAACGTACGGCTTTTTCTCTCAAATTCACTGTTTCTTTTACATATATGTATATTAACTGAAACCACTGACTTAAAAAAGTTGTAATATGTTGTCAAGTAAGCAATCATGTCAATTCTGGCTAGATTTACTGCTGTAAATATTAATATCGGGGCAGTTTCAGGAAATGATAACGTATAATATATGATAAACAAGATCAACAAGGAAAGGCGGCGTTCAATGAACGCAAAATGTTCACACAAAATGTATGGCGCACAAAATATCAATGATAACGTACGGTGCATTTTTTCTGATTAATTGATTTTCTTTATAATAGAAAAGTTATGTTTACAAGACATAAGTGGATGTGTAGACTGAAATAAATAATATTAGTGTCCAGCTTTATTTGTCATCCAATGAAAGCGTTGTATTTCTTAAAAAAAATTATGTAAATTTTCATAGAATAGAAGAACAAAAGTCGATGATATATCAAAGTCCGTTGTTATGTATGCAACATATTACATGTATATAGATTATATCTGACTAGTTGGTATTTCCAATATTGTCATTGTTCTATTTTTAGATCATAAACTACATGTATGTACTAGAACGTTCTTAACTGTTGTGGAAAACTCATGCATTATATTTAGATAGAAATTTCTGGAATGATCTTTATTGTTGAAGTTGCTAGATTATGATTACTGTAGTAAATGGAAGACTATTCTAGAAACTTCTTAGTTAATATATATAAGGAGACATTTTTCATTACTCTTATCTTTAAGTCATCAGTTACCTTTTTAGTCATCAGTGATCTTTTAAGTCATCAATATATTTGGAGTATTATTCAACTTGGAAATTAAGTGATTTATTGGAGCTTGGATTATTAATTATTCTTGTGGATTTTATTGTGGGAATTTATTCTAAAGTGTTCTTGGATTTAACTTGGATTTAACTGTGCTATTAAAAAAGGATCATTCCAGGATCAGACTAGACATTTGTAATTTTTATTTGGACTTCAGGTATTTGTAAAGATAATTTGTTATTTTATTTTTCTTTAATAATTTTTCTGTAATAAATTTGTTATTGTTACAAGTTTGTTGCTGGCTTTTCTTTCTCGTTACGCCTGGCTCGTAACAGAAATTGGGGGCTCGTCCGGGATTGAATATTTCTTTTTGGCTACATTATTGGAAATTATTACCATTTATTCTAC